TTGTTGCTCTTGTTGCTGTTGTTGTTGTTGTTGCTGTTGTTGTTGAATTCTCACATGTAAAGAATTATGATTGCTGATCCCCCCTCCCGGTAACCATCCTGTTTTTCAGTTGAAGCGCCCCCTCTCGGGGCTCGTACCTTGCTTTTTACAAGGGAAAACGAAGGATCGCCAAACTGTGCCCCTGGCCTTTGGTTTACAATAACAACAACAACGGCACCGGCCTGTATTTCCCAATCGCGCTCTCGCGAAAGACTTCCCCGCAATTTATGCAGGAATCGCACTCTCGCGGGTGATTTCCTCTCAAATCATCCAGACGCCGCGCCCTCGACACTCAAGAATCACGCTTTCGCAATGAATTTCCAGAGGACTTATTTGGGCTTCCTCGCGATTCATGCGGGACTCACGCTTCAGCAACCTGCCTGCTCGACGTGGCCGCCTGGGCCGGCCTTCCCGACCCGCCCGTTAGGGTCTGCCCGCCCGATCTGCCTGTCTGGCTCTGCCACGTTTTTTTTGCTTCCGGCCCCCTTCCTGCTACGGTTTCTCGTGCTCTATCCTCCTCCACCTTGTCCTTTCCGTCCGTCCATCCTTTCTTCCCCTGCCGTAGGGGCTGCACTACACGCCGCGTTTTTCCTCCTCCGCCTCCTCCTCCCCCGCCTCCCCCTCGCCGGACAGCACAGCCTGCCCGGAAGCAGCGTGGCGGCGCGCAGGTCTGCAAAGCAGGCCTCCGGCTTGAGCTCTGGCAACAGCTTCAGCCCGCATAGACAGCCGTAGAGAGCCTCGGCAGCTTCTCGGGCGCAGCCGGGCAATTCTCCATGATTTTCCCGGCCTATGATCATGCGGTTGGTCCCTGCTCAAGGCTTGGTGCAGGCGTGCCGCGGAAGCCCATGCCGCACTACACGTTGCTGTCAAGAAATGCCCCCAAGGGGGGTACGATCGAAGACGAAGAGGGCGGGTATTTAGGGTTTGGGATATACGTGCTGACTGGCCCGCGACCAAATAAGGGCGAATAGTTCTACAATGATTGTTGCTAATGTGGAATTCTACTACTCATTGTTGATCCCCCTCTGGTAACCAATATATATTTCAAGAGAAATGCTCCTTCCGTGGCTCGCACCCCGTTGTTTACAATGGAAAAAGAAAGGTCCCCACACTGAGCCCCTGGCCCCCGAATTGCAACAATAACGAGTCCCGCCTGATACTTCCTCACTATGAATTCCCAAATCGCGCTCTCGCGCCGGATCCCTTCGCAATTTAAAGAAGAATCGCGCTCTCGCGTGGGACTTCCTCACAATTTACTCAGACGCCGCGCCCTCGACACTCAGAAATCATGCTCTCGCTGTGGACTTCCTGACGATTTACTTGGGGATCGCGCTCTCACGAGTGATTTCCTCGCGATTCATGCAAGACGCGCGCTTCAACAACCCGCCCGCTCGACCTGGACGCCTGGGCCCGCCCGCCTTCCCGACCCGCCCGTTAGGGTCTGCCCGCCCGATCTGCCCGTCTGGTTCTGCAACGTGTTTTCTGCTCCTAGCCCCCCTCCTGCAAATTTCTCTCGTGCTCCTTCCTTATCCCTCTTCCCCTTCCATCCGTCCACTCTTCCCCTGTTTTAGGGCCTGCGCTAACTGCACGTGGCAGGTAACGAAGATAGATCCCCATGGGTGGTACGATCGAAAACGTACCGAGGGTTTGGGATATACGTGGTGAATGGCACGCGAGCCCATGTGAGCGAACAATCTGAAAATGATTGATGTTGCTGTTGTCGTCCTTGTTGTTGTCGTCGTCGTCGTCGTCATCGTCGTCGTTGTCGTTGTTGTTGCTGCCGTTGTATTTGTAGTTGTAGTAATTGTTGTTGACTGTTAATTTTTGAACAATTATTAATGTTAGACCCCCCCAGGCGCCCTGGCGCTCTCGCCTCGGCGCCGGCTTCATTTTCATTGAACATGCAACTCACGCTCGAGCGGTGTGGGGGGCGCCAAAACGGGCCCCCCAACAACAACAACGCTCTCGCTCGAGACTTCCTCCTTTTTTGCCCAGAGCCGGTGCTTTTGCTCGCCGCCGAAAACCGCCGCCCCAAGAAAACCAACGCTCCCGCTCGAGACTTCACCTTGGACTGGCGCGCTACTCATTCTCTCATCGGCGCCGCCCCCAGCAAGAACAACGTTCCCGCTCGAGACTTCCTCCTCTCTTACCCAGAGCCCAATACTTTTGCTCGCCACCGAAAACCGCCGCCCCAACAAAACCAGCGCTCCCGCCCGAGACTTCCTCCTGTTTACGCTGGACTGGCGCGCCCAATTCTCTTTTGAATTGGTGCCTCCCCCAGCAAGAAGAACGCTCCCGCTCGAGGCTTCCTTCTTTTTTCCTGAAGACGGTGCTGTTCCTCCCTGCCGACAGCCCCCGTCCCGACAAAACCGCGGCTCCCGCTCGAGACTTCTTCCCTTTGTACTCAAGGCGGTGTTTCTCCTCGCCGTCGACAACCGCAGTCCCAACAGAACCAGCGCTCCCGCTCGAGACTTCGTGTTGTTTCACGCTGGACTAGCGCCCTACTCTCTTCTGCATTGGCGCTGCTCCCAGCAACAGCAGCACCCCTGCTAGAGACTTCCTCCCTTTCTATTCAGGGCCAGGTCCTTGCCTCGCCGCCTGCAGCCCCCATCCCCACCAAGCCAATCCTATCGCTTGAATCTTCCTTGTGCTTTTACCCTTGGCTGGGGTTTCACTGGCGGTCTCGCATCGGCGCAGCAGGGCGCGGGCATGTGTTTTCGAGGCGGGATATGTTGAAATTCCCCGGAGGTGTTTGCAAGACATAGATCTGGAATTGGGAATAGCGGACCCCCGCGATACAACAACAATGCCCCACGATGGAGATGGTTATCATGATGGTCGCATGCTGCGTGTGGAAGCATCGCGCATGAGGGTATAATGATTGTTGTTGCTGTTGCTATTGCTGTTGCTGTTGTTATTGTTGCTGTTGTCGCTGCTGCTGTTGTTGTAGTTACTGTTGTGCTATTTTGTGTACTTCTATTTTTTTGTGTTCTCGCCCGCTCGGGCTTCTGCAAGCCCCAGGCGGTCCGCGGGGCCCTCCCAGACCGGCTCATCACGGCCCAAGAGGGAACCAGCATGGCACCGAGGCCTCCACGCAGGCCACAAAACGGCCTTCAGGAGGGCCCCACGGCGGGGAGCTCGCAGGGGCCGCGGGGGCACTCCCCCACAAGCACTCCCCCAAGAGAAGCACCCCGGGGGGGCTCCGCAAAGCACCCGGGAGCTCGGAGAAGGCTCCCAGGTGGCTGCCCCCGAGGCCTCCACGAGGCCCCCCAAACGCCCCGCAACAGATGTGGAGGAAGAGGACGACACATGAGCAAAAACTGCACGCAAGCAGCACGACTGGAAACGGCAAACATCGCATACGAAGTCGGAAGCCACACACACCCTCCTCTGGGGTCGGAGCAGTGGCGTAAGCCTTTCGAGTATCACGATGACGATAAATGACGATGACGATGATGATTCAAATTATGAATGGAGAAGAGGAGCACGTCATGACGACGATGAGGATTAGAAGGAGGAGGAGGCGGAGAGAGATGATGATAGAAGAAGCACGGCATAAACTAAACTTTGGGTGCTCCGCGCGGAATTCTTGGATCCGCGCTGGCCCCCCCCCCCTGGCGGCGCCTCTGGCGCCGCCCCCGGCGCGCCAGGGAGGGGGGCCCGGCGCAGATCCAAGAACTCCGCGCGGAGCGCCAAAAGCTTGGGCTCCTGCCGTTTCTGCTAGTCGAGATGAGGCTGGGACGGGAGGAGGAAGACGAGGAGGAGGATCACGATGAGGGTGAGGACGATGAGGGTGATAACGATGAGGGCGATGACGATGATAACGATGAGGAGGAAGATGGGGAGGAGGAAGATGGTGATGAGGGGAGGAGGAAGATGGGGAGGATGATCACGATGAGGGTGACGACGATAACGAGGACGAGGACGAGGAGCTGGCAGGCCGCGGCCCCGACGACGGGCCGGAGGGGGAGAAGGGGGCGCGGCGCGGCAAGGCCCGCAGGGGTGCTCGCCCACTGCCAGCCGCGAGTACTGCTCCTGGAACTCCTGGGGTGAGGGGGGGGGGCGGGTCAGAGAGGAGGAGGGCCGAGGGCAGGTTCAGAAGATTCTGGTTCCCTTGCCTCCGAGGACCTCCTCCTCGCCACGGCTTTGGACTCCCGTCGACGTCTTGTGAGCGCCCAGGACGAGGGTGAAAAGGATGAGGAGGAGGAGGAGGAGGAGGAGGAGGAGGAGGAGGAGGAGGAGGAGAAGGACAGGGAGGAAGGGAGGAAGAGATGAAATGAAGAGGGCTGCTAATTTCAAGGGGTTCGGGGGGTCAAACATGGTCTTCCGTATGGTCCCCCGTATGTGCAGCGCAATATGCTGCTCGCTCTACAGTAGGAGCTCGACCACATGAAATCTTCCCCGAGAAACCCAACCCTGAGACCCCAGGACGTCCATTGATTCTTGGTGTGGGAACGGCACGTTGTCCATAGCTGAACGATCAAAACCCAAGAAACCCAGGGCACCCTGGAAGCAAGCAGGGCGTTTCTTCCCCCTGTCGCCCGCGTGTCATTCCAGGGCGCCGGATGTGAGACCCTCCGGGTGCGGCATCGGTGGCTCGGTGTCCCGCGGTCTCCCGTCCGGTCTCCGGACCGACCTCCCGTGCGGTCTCCCGTGTTGTCTCCGTGATCTCCCGTCTGGTCTCACGTGTGGTCTCCCTTTTGGTCTGCCGTATGGTGTCCTGTCTGGTCTCCCGTAGGGTCTCCCTTGTGGTCTCTCCTTTCTGATCTCCTGTATAGTCTCTCGTATGGTCTCCCGCAGGGTCTCCCTTGTGGTCTCCCCGATGGTCTCCCCTAGGATCTCCCTCATCATCTCCTGTATGGTCTCCTGTATGTTCTTCCTTATGGTAACTCTTGTGGTCTCCCTGATGGTCTCCCTCATGGTCTCCTTTACGGCCTCCTTGGCAGGATGGTATCCCTTTTAGCGCTCCCTGGAATGCGCTCTGTACTACTCTTCGCTTTTTATAGTGCTCTCTGTAATTATCTCTTCAACGCTCTGAAGAACTATTTACGGTTTTCTGCCGCCCAAGAGTGCACTGGAGCAGGATGGGGGGGGAGGGGGATGAGAAGGAGGAGGAGGATGGATGGAGCACGGCGCAGGAGGATAATAAGGAGGACTCTAAGCGCTGTTGCCGTTGGCGGGGTTAGGAGGTAAGCATGTCCCTGTCGAGTCGGGTGGGGCTCATGAGGTCTCCCGTAACGACGGACGATGATGAGAAAGATGATGAGGACGAGGAAGGCGGAAGGAAGACCGGGAGGAGGGGAATGGATGAGCAGGAGGAAGCCGAGAATGAGGATGAGGATGATGAGGATGATGAGGGTGATGAGGATGATGAGGATGATGATACTGATGATGATGCTGATGATGATTACGATGGTGATGATGGTGATGATGATGATGCGGATGAGTGAATGATGATGATGATGGTGATGCTGATGATGATGGTGATGATGATACTGATGATGATGCTGGTGGTGCTGATGGTGATGATAATGGTGATGATGATGAGTGAATGATGAACCATTACTGCTTCATGACGATGATGACGATGATGCTGCTGTTGTTGATTGTAATGTTGATGGTTATGATGATGCTGATGCTGATGCTGATTATGATTATGATGATGATGAGGGCGAGAAGGGGAGGCATTTTAAGGAGGAGGATAAGGACGATACTGCTGATGATGACGATCATGCTGCTGATCATGATAATGATACTGATACTTATGATGATGATGGTGATTCTGATTATGATGATGATTGATCATGATGCGGATGATGATGACACTGATGCTGATGCTGCTGATTATGATTAAGCTGATGAGGATGCTGATGATGATGCTGAGGATGCTGATGTTGATGATGATGCCGATGCTGATGACGTTGATGACGATGAGGATGATGATGACGATGATGATGCTGCAGCTGATGATGATGATGATGATGATGATGCTGATGTTGATGATGATGCTAATAACAATACTATTAGCAATAATAATGATGATTATGATGATGCTGATGATGCTGATGGTTATTATGATGATACTGATGATGATGCTGATGCTGCTGTTGCTGCTGCTGGTGATGATGATAATATGGGGGGGAGGAGGAGGAGGAGGAGGAGGAGGAGGAGGAGGAGGAGGAGGAGGCGGAGGAGGCGGGGAGAAGAAGGATGGATTAAAAGGAGGCTGAGGAGCATGAGGAGAGCGGAACGAGAAGGGGGAACCAGATGCCGAAACGATTGTGGGCCACAACGCTCATGACCTCAAGGTGAGGTGAGCGGGCATGCCAGCCAGGCATGGCCCACAAACGAGGCTGGTGTGGCGCCACAGCCTCGGCTCGAAGGCCCGTGTGGTTCGCGCTCTCGAACCATTCTGCAAGACGTGGGGCCTGGAGGAAGACAATCCACGATTCTTTCCGCTGCTCTCGGGCCCTGGGGATATCTACGGTCCCGGGATCATCAAACAACGTCCCGGGGTGAGGAGCAGGCCCTGGGGAACGAACGACCCGGGAACCTGGGCGGCGCGTGCGTCCACGTCGACAGCACAATCGAGCACCGACCGAGCCGACAACGGAGCCGAAGCCGACCGAAATCGGACCCGAGGACGCAGCGGCGCGGCAGCGGCGCCGCAGCAATCAGCCAGACCGAACCGACCGAGCGCGGGCGACTGCGAACGCACACGGGTCGACCGAACCGCGGGCAGCCTTTGAAGGCCAGAGCTGTGGCTGGCAATCCCCTGCCTCCCCAATGCCTTCCAACTCTGCGCGGACGGACGCGCGTTGGATGGTGCTGGGGGAGGAGGATGAGGAGGAAGAGGACCAGCAGCAGCAGCAGCAGCATCACGGGAAGAGGGCGCACGCGGTCAATGACAAGGACGAGGCGGGACGGATGATGATGTTGCTGCTGATGCTGATGTTGATGCTGATGCTGATGCGGTTATGATGATGATGCTGCTGATGATGATGGTTTGATGATTGGATGATCAGATAGCGAGGCTGATTATGGTGATGATGCTGCTGCTGCTGATGAACATGATGCTGACCAGGATGACGATGATCGCGACGACGACGATGCTTAGGACACTATGTGCACGGTGGGCGCGATGCTTGTGACGATGGCTGTGATGATGACGGTGGCGACGATGGTGATGGCGAGGATGATGACGGTGATGGCGACGGCGGCGATAGGGATGAGACCCCTCTCCTCCAAGAAGGGGGCGGCGGGCCCACGCTCCTGGCGATCGGCGATGTGCCGCTGCCCGAACTCCAGCGTGTGCTGCAGGTGCTCCAGCACGAAGGCGACGTCCTCGGCGCGCGCGACGAGGGGGGCGAGGAGGACGAGTACGACGCCCTCCTCCGCCTCATCCTGCTGCTGCTCCTCCTCCGCCTCGGTCGGTCGGTCGGTTGGATCTGAAGGCCAGTTCGATTCAAAGCCCATCCTGAATGCGGGAAGAAGGTATAAGGATGGGAGAGCTCATGTAGGAGCTGCTGCCAAGCACGTGCAGTTCGACATCATGGGCTACGGCCGACACGCGCACCATTGACAAAAAAGGAGGGGGGAAGAAACGACGGTCACAATACAGAGAACGGCTCCACAAGCTTCCAGAATCCAAAACTGCCCCAACGTCCGTGCACACTTCCCCACAGTCCCTGCAACGCTCTTTCCCCCGCTCATGTGCGAACGAATCAACAACACGCTCATAAAACCCACGAGGCGAAACACACTGGAAGTTTCCAACACGTCCATCATACGACGTACGCAAGTAGTTCCCGTTGCACACTCCCCACCCCTCCTCCCGCACATTGTTTCACAAGGTCTCCAGCTGCGAATGCAAGAGAGCTCTCGGCTCCCACCTCGTGTGATCGCCAAGCGAGCAACTACCAAGGTCGGGCGGCACGGCGCATCCTTTTTAAATAGCCAGGCGGACCACCGAACAGTCAGTGAGCTGGACTCGATGGCCAAGTTCTCTCTGAGCAAAACGGATCCACGGAACGAGTTGAAGCTCCGCAACACCAATAAGCTCAGTGCCATCCCGTATGAAGCTGTTCCTCTCCATCAGAATTAAGTTCCCCCCCCACTGCTCACGCTTGGTCCTGGGCGCTTTCACACGGGGACCCAAGGTTCCACGAAGACCAAGAGCAGAAAAGGCACCACCAATAATTTTCCTTCAGCCATGATCCTGGTTCGCTGCCCTGCTCTCTGGCACAACCATTCAGCTTTTGAGAGATGAACCGCGATCGTATCCTCCCGAACTCTGTGCAATGCGGCCTCCAACACATGGTGAAAATCAAGTTCCACTCTATCACCCGTGCTGTCACTCACAAAAATCAGTCTGAGCAGCTTGCTGGAGTCTCGTCCACCGGCGCATCCACATGCGTCCTGTCGACCAAGACGAAAGGTGCACCAACCGCCGCACAAACTTCAACATTAGCTCTCCAAGCTACCGGTGGTTCAGAAACTCGATGAGCGGCCTTCCCGACAACATGTTCATGCTTTCCAGAGTTTTGATTTTTGTTCTGAACGGCTGAACTCTCAGACTCCACTCATCAAGCTCCTCAGCACAAACTGGCTGGCGTAGCCCAAACCAAGTGTGGGCACAAGCAGGCTGTCTCTTCAAATGAACCACGTATCTCCCCCTTACTGTGAAACTACATCATGCATGTATGGCCCACCGTGCCCACCGCCCACGCGTTAGAGTCCTACAACTCTTTATGGTGCTTGCCGCGATGGATAGCAAGACCCTTGGAGGTAGCGGCAAGGTAGCCGCACGAATAGCACACGTACTTGCGAAAGGAGGCCTCACTTCCATCAGCTTCCGCCTCACCTTCCGCTCAATCCTCGACCTTCCCCAGTCCAAGCCTCTCGAGCCTCTTGTGCCACTCACTGGTTTCTGCTTCTCCAGCTGTAGGAAAAGTTCCCTCTTGTCAACATCCTTGATGCCCTTCCTAAGCGCTCCAGGCGAATCTCTAGCAACCTTGATCCAATTCTGGGCCGTGCCCTCCCCTGGAATCTGCTTCTTTCACAGAATCCCATTCATCCAAACACAATCCATCCTCAACTCCCCCACCCAACTCTCAGAATCCCCTGCGAAACGTCAAATGAGACAGCAAGCCGTGCCAATTTAAACATGGCGAGCGAGATATCGGAGCCGTGCCAATTTAAACATGGCCCTGTACCCGAGTCGCTCAACTTTAGCTAGCACGCTGGCTTGAGACACATGCATCTCGTGATTGCGACTTAATGGTAGTCCAGGCGCCGCTTGGTAGGCTGACGCCTGTGCTGCCGCCAGTCTACCATGCACGCGTCCTTGCAGCGGTTCCCAAGTCGAGGCATTGAACCACTACTTCGGAAAAACAAGGCAAAGACCTCAGTGTATTTCGCCTCATTGCAACCTGCCAAGACTTTACTTCTACCATTCGGAATTTGAATAGGCCTCAATTCTCTTCGCATTGTGGCATTCCGATGCTGCAATTCAGCCCTGCACCCCCACTATCAGTGAACATGATCCCCCACCCCCTTGAAGTGTTTGACAAGTTGCAACTGAACGCTGCACCTTAACGCCGTACACTTCCGAATCAACAACTTCTCTCTCTCTCTCTCTCCCTCTCTCTCCGTTCATGGCCACGTTCGCTGGACAATTTTGGACTCAAGACCAACCAAGTACACAACCGACAACATCCTAGTCAACATCTTCCTCCTTGTTCACACCAGCGACAACGATGTGACAATCTACGCGCGAAGCTTGACAATTATTGCACAGCACGTACTCCAACTTCGCAACAATCATCCCAACTCGCTCGGAATCCCAAGTCATGCCAGGAGCGTTCTTGCCATCCTCAACTCCACCAGTGGTCGGCATAATTGAACGGTTGAACTCGTCTGTGGCGAATGTAGTGCCTGGGCGTGTGCCGCCCAGCGTCGGTCTCACGTGTGAAGTGGCGTTGCGCGCTCTCCAACAACTCCTGCCTATGTGCTTCGCGCCAGCTTGAGCAAGTGTTGGTCTTCGGCCTCTTGCTCCAAGATGGGTGTCCCTTGGGGCGCATGTGGCAGTGGAGCGGTCTCTAACGCCTGGCTCACGTCCTTCTCCTCCCATGGCAATCTTACAATCCATTGCTGTACATCAAGGTAAAACGCAGCCGTCATATCCATCAGACATCCGATGGACGCCTTCCTACATGCCTTTTGCGCCCTAGGGCGGCTCCCCACGAAGTGGCTAGCCATGTCCGTGCTGCGCCCCTGAAGCCCTCCGCACTGCCGATCGAAGCATCATCACCCACGCAAATGATTTATGGTGTACTTTTGCCAAGGTGCTCGCCAACAAGATTCTCTTTTGAACAGCCGCTATCATGCGGTCCCTTCCCTTTTAAAAGCGGACGCCACCTCCCCCTTTTCCACTCCATCGGTTCCCTGGCGGCCACACCAACTTTGAAGCCAACAGGGCAGACAATCCTGTCCATGCCGCAAGAGCCAGCCTTGTGCAGGTCATTGGGTAACCTGTCGGGCCCTGGGGCCTTGCCCCTCGCAAGCTTAAAGCAATCGCGCTTCAACTCCTGCCTATAAGAAATCTCCTCGAGCGCCTTGCCCCCCCCCCCCGCCTTGCAAAGAACTCCTCCGCCTCCCCTCACCCTGCCCCCCCCCCCCTCTTCCTCCACTTCCTCTTCTTCCTCCTCTTCCTCCTCCACTTCCTCCTCCATTCCTTCTCCTTATAAATCACTCCTCCCCGCTGCACCCCGAGGCCAGTCGGAAGGGCGGGCCGAGCGTTTCGCATGAGAATTCCTCACCATTTCTGATCTTGAAGCTTTGTCGAAATGGCAACAGCTTTACACATACATGGCGGGCGGTTTAACACATGTGGCTATCGCCCTAGCGCCGCGCACGTTCGTCTTAAACATTTGTAGGCGCTTCACGGGTTGAGGGCGGGTTGTTTTCGACATGTGGCTCTCGACTTAGCATCGCGCACATTCGTCTTAAACACTGCAAGGGCTTCACGGATTTAGGGGGGTTCCTTCTCTGAATGTGGCTCTCGCCTTAGCACCGCGCACATTCGTCTTACATATTTGCAAGAGTTACACGGGTTGAGGGCGGGTTGTTTTCAACATGTGGCTCTCACCTTAGCACCGCGCACATTCGTCGTAAACCTTCGCGAGGGCTTCACGGATTGAGGGCAATTCTTTTCAAGGTGTGGTTCTCGCCTTAGCGCCGCGCGAAATTGCCTTAAACATTTGCAAGAATTTCACGGGTTCCCAGGGTCAACGTGCCAGAAGTTTTGGGACGATTCAGGATTGCTTCGTGGCGCTGGGGCCCCGAGAACGGTGTTTTGACACGCTTCATGATCTTCAAACGGCTGTCCCCCAACGGGGCACGTCCCTCCGTGGAGATGAACCCTTGTATGGGGCCTATGAAGAGGGAGCTTGGAAGGAGGGTTTATTCACACTGGTCCTCCCTCCTCCTCCTCCCCTTCTCCTCCTCCTCCTCCTCCTCCTCCTTCTCCTCCTCCTCCTCCTCCTCCTCCTCCTCCCATTGGCCTTGGTGTCCACCCCTGCCGCCGCGGCTGGGCTCGCCTCTGGGCTTTGGCTAGAGCGCGCTAACCAGGAGATGCTAGTTTGTTGCTTGTTTTTGTTGAACACAGCGAGGAAAGCGACGAGGCCGTCAAAATGGCCGAATATCCCATCACGGCTTGCACAAGCTCGGCTCCAACACGCCGGGGAGGCCTTGAACACACCCAGGGTAGCCCCAAGGCTGCCCAAGGGGCCCGCAAGGCGCCCCAAGAGGGCCGCCAAGATGGCCCCAAGCGGCCAACATCTTCACAATCCCATCGAACAACCTTTCTTTTTGCCTTTTCGCCTTGATGGTTTCAACAGCGCCCAACACGGCTCAAGAGGCCCTCAAGGTCGCAGCAAGACGGCCCAAGAGGTTCCCAGGAGGGGCCTAACACTGTTCAAGGGGGCTCCAAGGTTGCTCAAGAGGGCCCCAAGACGGCTCGAACTGCCATTTCGAGCCTTCCGCTCCAAGAGGAGACCCGAGACCACCAGCAGACGCCCCCGAGACCATGAAGAAGCCCCAAGAGGACCCCAAGAGGCCCCCTAAAGGCACCTGAACGGTCTCCAACAGGCCTTAGAACCGCCTCCAAGAAGCTCTCCAGAGGCTTCCCACGAGACCCCTGCTGGCGCCCAAGAAGCCTCTGACCCACAAGCCTGGCACTGTAGCGGGATGGGCCGAAAGCCACTGGACTGCCAACAAAAGCTCCAATCAGGCTCAAGTCGGTGCCGAACCGTTGACTCCGTATCTCTTCTGTGGGTCGGCGGAATGGCGCGAGCCTCTGGAATAATGATGGTGGTCATGATGATGATGCTGATGATGATGCTGATGATGATGCTGCTGATGGTGGTGGTGGTGACGATGATGATGATGGCGGTGGTGGTGGTGGTGACGATGATGATGATGATGGCGGTGGTGGTGGTGGTGGTGACGATGATGATGATGCTGCTGATGATGATGCTGCTGCTGCTGATGCTGCTGATGCTGCTGCTGCTGCTGATGATGATAATAATGATGGGCAAGCGCAGGATGAGGAGGGGGGAGGAGGAGAGATTGGTTGTGGACGTCTCCGAGGACACCAAAGCAATAACGGCCGCACGACGGCCAGCTCTGCGCCCCCCCACACAAGCGAACAGGTACTCCGTGACTCACCCTCGGAGGCGGCGTATCGGGACAGCACCTGGCGCATGAAGCGGCTGCGGCGGGCGTGGACTCAGGCTCTGGCCAGGGGGAGGGCAGGGCAGGAGAACGAGGAGGGCCATTATGACGAGGAGGGCGAGAGCGAGGAGGGCGAGGGCGAAGGAAGGCCATCGCCGCTCCTCGTCTTCGCAGCAGACCGTGCCCGTGCCGAAGGCGCCCGCATCGCACGGGATGCTCGCAGTCACGCCGCCAGCGGCCGCCTGGGCGCGAGGCGGGAGTTGCCCCGCCCGAACACTCGGGCAGCCCCTCGTCTTGTCGTCCTCCCCGGCTCCCTTCGTCCTCCCCCCCTCGTCCCTTTCCAGTGGCTCGTTTCTCACCCATCCACTCCATGATCGATGGGGGCTGCTGAGAAACAAGCCGGCGCTGAACGGTGGGCCCCGCGGGCGGGTGGCCGTACACAGCGCTGCACCCGAGCCGAAACTCCGCGGACGGGTGTGCAATTCACATCGCTGTACACGGGCCACATTTTGGCCCGTGTCCGCACGCCTGAATAAGTGAAAGCACGGAGACAACACAATGAATACATGAGCTCCTAATCTCGAGGCGTTATCGCTCTAGCCTCGTGCCTGCTGCAACCTGCGTGCTGAACCGCATGTTGCTCCGGGACCGCGTTGACTGCTGCACCCGATTCCAGGGGCAGGGTGCTGGCACGCGCCTGCACGTCGGTGGCCCCAGATGACCACTGCGCTGCGAAGCCCAGCAGCACATGTCTGCGCACGAAAGGCTCGGTGGACGAGCCCGCGCGCCGCCAGGCGGTGACCTTGGCCACCGTGTCCCGCGCACAGGCGGCCTCGGCCGCTGCAGTGCCTAGCTGCGCTCGTCAGTGCCCCAGGGCCCCGCCAGACAGCCAGCCGGGGCTGGACCTCCTTCTCGTGCAAGCCAGAGTGCGAGACACCACTCTTGACTGCGTCATCAGTGGGCGAGCTCTCTGCGTCGCCGCATCGGGCGCCGTCTCGCAAAAAACTGCGCAGCAACGCCACTCAGAACATCATGCACGACCAGCGGCGCCCAGCAGAGTAAGGAAGACAGTACTGCAGACCTTGCGTGTGCACCACACAGGGCTCTAAGTGTGGCCCGATGGGCTCCCACTCGGGCTCTTGAAAACGAAAGCCCCCACGGAGCCGCCCATGCTGCCCGAAGCAGCAGTGCCGAGGGGAGTATGGCGAGCCAGGCCCTTGCACCTAGACCCTCTTGAGCGAATGCAATACACCCTCAGGAAAGTCGAGGGCGGTGTGAGTGGCTCGAAGGGTGTCGCCAAGCCGACGCCTGTGAGTCCGGAGCACCCTGGCGGCCCGCCAGTGCAGCAGGATGCCATACCCAACGACACAGTGCATGACCCCAGCTCCCCCGCTTCCTCCTTCTCCCCTCCTCCTTCTCCTCCTCCTCCTCCTCTTCTTCCCCTTCTTCTTGTTATTCTTCTTTTTCCTCTTCCTCCTGGAACCTTGGACTCCGAGCAGTCTCTGGTGGTGCCACGATGCCCTCGGCACACCCTCCCTGTCCAGCCATCGCATCTTCTCCCTCCCTCCCAAACCTTCTCCATCCTCCCTCCTCCTCCTTCTCCTCCTCCTCCTCCTCCTCCTTATGAATAACTCCTCCCTGTCGCACCCCGAGGCCAGTCCAAAGGCGGGGCCAGGCGCTTCGCCTGAGACTTCCTCACCATTTATGAGCCTCAAGCTTGAAAACTGACAGCACAGCAGTTTCACACATGGAAGGTGGGCCGCTTCCAAAATGTGGCTCTCGCCGTATCGCCGCGCACATTCGTTCGAACAGTTCCAAGAGTTTCACGGATTGAGGACAGGTCGTTTTTGAACTGCGGCTCTCGCCTTAGCGCCGCGCACATTCGTTTTGAACATTCGCAAGAACATAAATAATTGAGGACGGATCGTTTTCAAACCGCGGCTCTCGCCTTAGCGCCGCGCACATTCGTCTCGAAAAATCGCTCCAGTTTCACGGATTGAGGGTCGTTTTCAAAACGTGGTTCTCGCCTTAGCGCCGCGCACACTCGTCTTAAACATTTGCAGCGGTTTCACGGATTGAGAGGGGTTCCTTTTCAACATGTGGCTCTCACCCTAGCGCCGTGCACATTCGTTCATAACAATGCTGAAATTTCACGGATCGAGGGCGGCTTCGGGGTTAACGTATCAGAAACGATGTTCTGGAACGACTCAGGATTGCCAGGGCGCAACAGTTACGTTAATTCGGGGTGCTGAAGTCCAGGAATTGCATTCTAGCGCGATTCAGGATCGCCAAGACGCAACAGTAAGGTTGACTCGTGGCGTTGAAATCCTGAGAATGGTGTGTTTTGGCATGCTTCAGGATTTTCACACAGTTGTCCCCCGACGGGCCACTTCCCTCAGTGGAAATGAACCCTTGTAGGGGCCTATGAAGAGGCAGCTTGGAGGGAGGGTGTGTTCCAACATCGTTGATGAGTCCTGGGTTTGCAAGGGTCCTCCTCCTCCTCCTCCTCCTCCTCCTCCTCCCTCCTCCTTCAGTTCGGCGCGGACAGCGGGGACGATGGCCGCAACCTTGTTCTGAGTTGGGATTCGCCCGGGGCTTTCCGAGCGCGACTTTAAAGATATTACGCCGGAAAGCCCTCCTCCCTAAGGAGCTAGTAACTGCAACTGAACAACTGAATGGCACGGAACCTCTCTCTCTGGCCGCTCTGGTGCTGCTGCCGGTCTTAGGCCCAGAGCTGGAGCAGGCGCGACTTTGCCATCTCGCCCATCAGCTTACGCACTGCCATTGTAGATGACAAATGTCCTCCTCCTTCTCCTCGTCCAACCTTCTCCATCATACATCCTCTTCCTCCTCCTCCTCCTCCTTCTCTTCCCTCTCTTCGTCCATCCTCCTTCTCTTCCCTCTCCTGCACGAGACGGCGCGACCTGCAGCTGCACGGAGCTGTTGTGGCAGAACAGGTGCTCGGGCAGGATGGGCAGCGCGCGCACCTCGGCGACGAGGAGGCGGCGGAGGTTCGGAGACGATGCCGACGATGGTGATGGCGAGGACCGCGGTGAAGGAATTTTTGCTCAGCGCGTCGCGGCGGCGGCCCCAAGGACACGCTGTGCCTTGCAAGCGGATGGTGTATCGCTCCGCTCCGCTGGGCCAGAGGCTGGGAACGGCTCGGGACGCTGACGCCTGGGAATGGGACAGTGGGTAGCGTGCCGCGCCGAAGCGCGGCGGGCCAGAATCCGGTGCGCGACACTCTCAGCAACCGTTCCTGACTGCACAGCGACGGCGACGAGCAGCACTTGGGGACAAGAAACTCGGTTAGACAAGCAGCTCGAGCGATTGATGACGATGAGCAGGAGGATGAGGAGGAGGAAGAGAAGGAGGAACGGGGGGGAGGAGAAGAGAAAAAGGTGGGGAGAAAGATGTGATGACAGGATGAATGGGGAGGAAGATAAGGGAGTGAGGAAAGGGGAAGAGACGGGTGCGAGGGAGGGGGATAGACTGAGCGAGGGGTGCGAGAGGAGGATTCAGGAAGATCGGGGAAAAGGAAAGGAGGGAGGAGGATAGCGATGGGTAGGACAAGGCGCTGGGGGGGAGGTGCGGCAGGGGCAGATGGTGGTGGGTGTGGACAGAGACACGACTAAGAGGTAAAAAAGGGGGAGGCAGGAGTGGAGGGAGGAGAAGGAGAGGGGGGCAGGACCCCCTCTGGCCACCTCCTTCTCCACTTGGCGCCGGACCCCCGCTCGGGAAGCGCGCCAAGGGCGGCGCCAGAGGTGCTGCCAAGGAGGCCAGAAATCTGCGCGGACCTCCGCACATGCATGTTTGTGGTCAAGAAAACTTGCTCGGCGCGTCGCGTCGGCGGCGGCCCCGGCGACACGCTAGACCTTGCAGGCGGACGCCGTGTCGCTCCGCTCCGCGGGGCGGGCAGCTGGGAGAAGCTTGTGATCACGACGGAGGACGTGGTTGCCGTGTCGTGCAGAAGCGCGGCAGGCCAGCGCCAGCGGCGCGACACGCTCCGCAGACGTTCCTGACCGTAGGGGGTCGTTGCTTCCCCCCCTGAGCCCTCCCCCTGGGCGGGTGGTGGTGTGCCATCGGGCCCCTGTCGGTGATCAAGGTGATCAATGGGCGGTTGGGTGTCGACGCTCGCTCCCCCCCCGCAGCCGATCCCCTCTCTCATTGCCCCTGGCCTTCCGCTTCCTGGCTGTCGGGCCATGGCTCCAGCCGCCGGCGGCCGCTCGGGACGATCCGGGCACCCCCAGAACGCCCGCGGCGAGGCGCAGCCGCTGGAGAGCACCCCGAGGCTGCAAGCCCGCCGAGAGCCAACGAAAGCACATGTCGCCTCTGGAGGCCTCCCAGATAGGGGTCTGAGTAGATGGGGCCGGGGAGTCGCGCCGCATCGCCCATGCCGATGCATCGGCGATGCACCGGCGACGTCGGCGATGCATCGGCGCCAGCGGCGTGGAGGAAGTCGGGCTCCACATCGAGCTGCACCGCCGATGCATCGCCGATGCGGCGCGGCCCTCCGACCCATCTGCTCCGACTCCACCTGGGAAGCCCAGAGCTTCTTCGCCTTCCAGGAGGTGCACGGCGTCGTCTGGACTCCTCTGCGCCGACCTCCTCCGACGACCGACCGGCCGCCCGCTGGCCCGCTGGCGGCGCGGGCGGGGGGAGGGCGCACTGGCCCGAATGCGCCGAGCAGCCCCGCCGCGGCCTGCCGCTGGCGCGCGCCCCCGTGGAGGCTTCGCCGCTGCGCCGCCGCCGCCGCCGCCGCCGCCGCCGCCGCCGCCGCCGCCGCCGCCGCCGCCGCCGCCGCCGCCGCCGCCGCCGCGCCGCCGCCGCCGCCGCCGCGTCGTCGTCGTCGTCGTCGTCGTCGTCGTCGTCGTCGTCGTCGTCGTCGTCGTCGTCGTCGTCGTCGTCGTCGTCGTCGTCGTCGTCGTCGTCGTCGTCGTCGTCGTTCGTCGTCGCCGCCGCCGCCGCCGCCGCCGCCGCCGCCGTCGTCGTCGTCGTCGTCGTCGTCGTCGTCGTCGTCGTCGTCGTCGTCGTCGTCGTCGTCGTCGTCGTCGTCGTCGCCATTGCCGTCGACGCCACCGTCGTCGTGAGATTCTCCCCATGATTCGGGTGCTTTGCGGATGCCTTCAGCACCCTTTGCGAGGTCCCCGAAGACTTTCTGAAGTAGACGGCTTTGAGTGGTGTTCAATAGTTTTCGCAGGGGATGAGGATGAGAACTGCAAGTCGATATCACAACCTGGCATACACCATCAGCAATTTCGGCCAGGCCCCAGAGATGCCCAGCCCAGGCTGATAGTGTTGAAAAAAACTACCAGCCCTTTGGGCGTAGGTGGTTCAGGTCTTCTTTTAACATCTTTCTTCCCCTTCGGGGAGGGGCTCCCCCCCCTCACCCCTCGCCTGGGTCTGGAGGGGAAGGGCGCGAGCGGTCAGAGAGCCCAACAGGTCTTCGAGAGGGCGTCGGATATCCCAAGATGGCATCCAATCTTGCCAAGTCTGGCCCACGATGGCGCAGGACGATCCTCAGCATGCGCCCCCTTCGTGCATGCACACGCCGCGGCAAGTCTGCGTGTTTTTGTGCGCTCTCCTCCTCCCCACCCCCCCTTCGCCCTCCTCCGCGCAGCCGGCCACGTCAGGGGCGGGGGGGAGGTGTCGCGGCGGAACAGGTGGAGGCACGATACAGTGGAGGCCAGTCCACAAGAAACCTTCCACAAGAAACCCAACCCTGAGACCCAGGACGTCCATCGACTTCTGGTTTGGGAGCGTCACGATTTCCACAGCAGAACCATCGAATCCCAAGAAAGCCAGGCCACCCTGGAGGCAAGCAGGGTGTTTTTTTTGGCATGGGCCTCCACTGTGTCCAGCGAGACCGATCTCGAGGGATTCCCTTGCCGCTTCCTCCTCGCCCAGGAGCTTACAGGGGCGCCGCCTCGCTGTGTCGGATAGCATGTCGCAGTGGCCTCCACCAGGCCACTTTTTTGATCCACGGGTCGAGAGCGTACCTCTTCCGGTCGAAGCTAAGCGGGCCGCGCACACCACCAGGCCACACATTCACCCCAAGACGGCCACGGGGCGCCCCAAGGAGACCCACGGGAGGTCAACCTCGATCAACAACCCGAGGCCTTGAACATCTGTAGCCTCTCGCCTTCTCGGTTCCCGCGGGCCTCTGGGGCTTCAGGACGGCCCCAAGACCGCCCAAGAGCAGCTGGACGACTTTTGGAGCAATGGGATTTACTATCCGACTCCCGCCCCGTCCCTGGCCGACTCTGACTGGCCGACTGGCCGACTCCCAGAAGGGCTGACTGGCCGACTGCGGAGTCGGAAAGTTCTTCCGGTGCCTCAAACATTTTCCTTCTCACCAAGAGGAGCGCAGAAGAGGCTCGAGACGGCCCCAGAGAGCGCTGCAGGAGGGCTCCAGGAGGACGCCGCTGATTAAGGACTTCCCTTCGCTCAAAGCCAGAATCATCAAATATAGAGAGAAAGAGAGAGAGAGAGAGAGAGAGAGAGAGAGAGAGAGAAAAAGAGAAGACGCCGTGCACGTCAGAGGTGCACGGGCAAAGAAAACTGGCGCCGACGCGACGGCAACCAAACACCGTGAAACACTTCGAACACAACACCGCCACCAACTCTGTGGACAGGGCGTGTCTGACAGCTTGTACGTGCACGTCCCCCTCGCCATGAGGCCCCCCAAGGCGGACGACCCGGGAGAGCAACGAAGATCACAAGATATGTCACAAGAAATCGTGGAAGCACACGAAGTGCCACTGGATTTGGCGTATCGGGGGCATCCTGGGGAGGCTTTGGGCATCCAAGATGGCCTCCAAGGCGGCCTCCGACATGCCTCCAAGGGGGGCCCCAAGACGGCTCCGAGTGGCCACGCAGCCTCCCAAGGCCGCCTCCCAGGTGTCAGATGCCTGCCCCAAACACGTGAGCGATTTCGAAAAACCTGAGCCTAAACTTGTTTTTACCTCTCGGGGGTACATCTTTCACTTCTGCCGCCTTCCGCCGGCGGAGGCGGCCTCGTTTTATTTCCGCCGAGCTTCCGCCGAGGAAGAGATGACAACTCCTTCGATCCTCGAAGGCAAGGCCCTTTCTGGAACGCCCATATGTTGTTTGTCTTCTTGCCTTTTCGCTTCCGATGTGCTTCCGACGCCTCAGGATGGCCCAAAGCGGGGCCCGGAAGGGCTTCCAACACGGCCCCAAAAGCGCTCCGAGAGAGTTCCGAACGGCAGGCGATCTGTTTTTGCCCTGACTGGGCAAGACTAGTAGGGACCTCCCTTCTTCGATCGATGCCGTCCAATATATCCCCCAATGCCCCCTAAGAGGGATCCAACAACTCCCAAAATGGCTTCAGGATGGCTGCAAAATGGCTCCTCGAGGCTTCTGATCTGTTCTTAGAGCGAAAGACACGCGAAGGCCTTCATGATTGACTCCACGGTATCCCCCACCCTTCCTAAGGTAAACTCAACATTTCCACTCCTGGGCATGCTCGAGCCGATTCCAAGCTTCGGCGTGACGACTGACCCAACCGTCCGTTACACTGCATGCTCCTGCGCTTCCCTGATCGGGGTAATTCGCCAAGCGATCGTTTCTGGATGGGCTGGTGGGGATACGCGAAACGTCAATGATTGCTGCCTTCCGATCATGTTGTGCCTCTCTCGTCATCTGACGGTCTTTCCACGACCGACACGGCCGCCGCTACGAATCGGCGGCCAAAGGGGCGGGAAGGCACGCGTCAGCTCAATACACCTTGATCTGTCGTAGCATAGCTCCTCCTTGTTCTTCGCCTACCCCTGATGCTCCTGCTGATGCTCCTTTTCCTCCATCCTCGCCTTCTTTTTGCCCACCTCCTGAATCAATGTTCACCCTCCTTCCCGATTGCTCTCCGCCTCCTGGTGGCGCTGCTCCTCCTTCCCTGTGCCCCCTTCTTCCAGGAGGAACAGGGAAGGGGACCAGCAGCAGCAGCAGCAGCGGCAGCAGCAGCAGCAGCAACAACAGCAGAGGGAGGAGACGGATTCATTCTCCTCCTCCCTTTCCTCGCTCCCTCCCTCCCCTCTTCCGAAGCCGTCCATGGCGACAACACAGACGAACACCGATCGAACCGAACCGCCACCGTGCCCCCTGGCACGTCGAGGCGTGATCGAATGGCAGGTGCTGCTTTGCAGACTTTCTGCATTCCAACATGGGGACCCCTCTACTAGCGTTCACTCCAGTGCGCCCCCCCCTTCCCGACGTCACGATGTCTAGCAACAGGCTATGGATCAGCACCCCCGAAGCCACGATCCCTAGGTACAGAAACGATGGATCCGCGCCCCGAGCTTCCAAGACGGCCCATGCAGGCAACCATCGGCACCAATATAACCCCAAGAGCATCGAAATCGGGCGGGCCAAAGCTAGCCCCAAGACGACCGAAAATGGACCCCAAGCGGCCCAAGATGCTCCCAAAAGGGTTCGCAAAGGCCACAACGGGACCCCAACAATGGTCGGACGAACCCATCCGCGATCCCAAATCCCAAATCAGCTTGAGACGGCCCAAAGAGCCTCCACGATGACCCCAAAACGGCCCAATAGACCCCCAACAAGATGACCCATGGGGAACCCGCGATAATGTAAGAAACATCCAATACGGCCCCAGGACGGCCCAAGAGGTCCTGGCCCTTCGACGATCCAAGAGAGCCCCATGACGGCGTATGAAGGCCTCATAACGGCCCGAGAGGGATCTAAGAGACCCCAATACTGCCTCGCAGAATGCCAAAATTATCCCAAACCCAAACACGGCCCAAACGATTTCTATGATAGCTCCTCACATGATGAGAACAGAGGCTGTGACATGTACCGGCCTTCCTATTCCTTCTCCCATTCCCCTTCGTCAACACTATCACCGCCATCGCCATCACCATCATCGTCACCGTCCCCATCACCACCCTTCTCCTCCTCTTCCTCCTCGTCCTCCTCCTCCTCAACATCATCATCGTCTTCGTCATCGTCATCGTCATCATCATCATCATCCTCATCATCGTCATCGTCATCGTCATCGTCATCATCATCATCATCATCATCATCATCATCATCATCATCATCATCATCATCATCATCATCATCATCGTCATCGTCATCGTCATCGTCATCGTCATCATCATCATCATCATCATCATCATCATCATCATCATCATCATCATCATCGTCATCATCTCATCATCATCAGCATCCTCATCGTCCTCTTCGCGGTTCACGCAAGCCTGGGGACACGAGGTGCCGCGCACCACGGCCTCCCGTGCGCCCCCGAACAGTCGACGCCCAGCACGCTGAGCTGGCGCGGCAGCTCTGCCGCACGCAGCTGGAAAACGAACCCTGAGCCGGCCGAAACCCACAGGCCGCAATCAGCCCGGGAAGCGGCAGCGGCGGTACAACGACACAACAGCCGCCCGAACCGAACCGATCGACTGCAGCCGACCACGACGCAGCCGAGCCGACCGTGCCGCGTATACCCTCGTCATCCTCCTCCTTCCTCTCCTCCTCCTCCTCCTCCTCCTCCTCCTCCTCCTCCTCCTCGGCACCAGTCTCGGCTAACCGGTTGTTGCATTTAGAATAGAGGTTGAAGTGAAACGTTGGACGGGTCCCCTGCAACCGCTGCTCAGCCCAGGAATCACGGATGCCCGCCCGAAAATTTGAACTCTGAGCCTCCTCCTCCTCCTCCTCCTCCTC